AAACTTTTTTTGAAGTATTCACATGCGTAAAACCACCAAGAATAGAAGAAATTGCGATATACAGGCTTGCCACTCAACTTTGTAAAAAAAAGTATAGCTCAAAAAGCTGAAATGTTGACCGAAATAGCTTCAGAAATAGCTGGCAAAATATCAATATAAACTAATTCGTTAACGTTTTGTCTGCTGTTTTATCATGTTATTTGACAAAAATACGCAGTGAAATATCTCAGTCTACAGTTTGTTTTGATGACTGATAAGAAACAATCTCACTTTAACGATTTCATCGATAATCCTTTATGTCTTCTAGCATAAGCAATTCATGTGTTTTTTGTGTTTATCGGTATACGCTGCATTAGTGCATCATAACATTAACTGTGGCTGATTACACAGAAACACTTCGAAATTGCTGTGATGGACAAAAATATTTTTAGCTGAACATTTTTGTCATTGAACCTAGGATGTGGACGCCCTGTTGAATAGCTAAAACTGTTTGAATGTTAGCAGATATTTTTGAATCTGTCAAAATAACAGATTAGAAATTTTGCACAATCTTCACCAACCTCTGAGAATCTCTGTAAATCTTGCCAATACTTCCATATGAATTCTTATTCTTATTCTTATTCTTTTATTGAATCTTTGATTTATATATACAATAGAAGGTATGTTTTAAAATGCTCCTTGACAGTTCCTATAAATATCAATTTCGGAACCAATAATATAAATAATTCTTGATATATATTTGTTTTTTCTAGTTATCCATAGTAGTGAGTTTTTTTTTTACTTCTTCATATTATTACAATTATAATGTGATATCTATGCTATTGAAAATGATGATTTGATGTAATGTATTTTTTTAGTTTTTTCTTGAAATTATTGAGTGACGGTAGGCTTCGCAGCTCAGTAGGTAGCATATTAAACTCGACAGCAATCATCCTCGCGATGAGATATTTGCCAGCATTTGTTCGATAGTTTAGTTGATATATTTGATGAGAATTACGAGTGCGATGGTTATGTCTACTGCTCATATGAACTATGTCAATGGAGTTTTTTATCAGGTTTTTGTTTATTTTGTAGGCGAGAATAGCTGTTTCATATTTGAAAATCTGTCTCACATTCAATATGCTATGGTTGGTTCTAATCTGGTCGGTACTCAAACCCAAAGCATAATAATCACCCCTGAATATTGATCGAATCGCGTTATTTTGGACCACTTGAATTGAATCTATTAATGACTTTACGGCGGACGGTCCCCAGATGGGAGACATGTATGAAAGGTGACTGTGCACATGAGCGTAGTAAATGGATGTTAGTGTTGTTGAGTCTACATAGTTTCCTATTCTGTGAATGACCCCTGAAATACGATTTATTTTCGAAGCAACTTTGTTTATATGCTCATCCCAATGGAGATTTTCTTGTATAGTTAGGCCAAGGTACTCGAAGGATTTAACTTGTTCAATGGGATCATTATTGCAGTGTATGTTTATTTTGAACTGTTTGATGTGTTGATTGTGATGGACAATCATACATTTGGTTTTTTTCCGGTTCAAGGTAAGTTTGTTTGCTTCAAACCAATGAGAGATCGTTGCCATATCTTCGGTCATTTTGCGATTTAGTTCATTGACATCACTTTCACAGTAAATAATAATTGCATCATCGGCAAATAGGATAATTTTACCGTGAAGTTTTAGTTTTGTTATATCATTCATGAACAGAATAAATAGAGCAGGTCCCAAAGTGCTGCCTTGTGGTGTTCCAAATTCAATGTGTAATGGATCACTGTTCGTACTTCCTACTGACACGTATTGCTTTCGGCCGGATAAAAAATCGCTTATGAGATTATAAGAGTTACCCCTGAAACCAAGTCTGAATAGTTTTTTCATTAATAAATCATGGGAAATTGAGTCGAAGGCCTTGGTAACATCTATAAAAATACATGCACAAATGTTTTTGCTTGATGCATCAAGTGAAGAACGAATATTTTCTATCACGCAGGTGGCAGCTGATAGCGTGCCTGATTGTTTTTGGAATCCAAATTGGAATTCACTAATTAATTGAAATTTATTAGTAAAATTAGATATTCGATCAAAAATACATTGCTCAATAATTTTAGAGAAATCGTCAAGGATGCTAATAGGCCTATAATTTTCGGGAGACAAAGAGTCTCCGCTTTTGAAGATTGGAACAACTCTTGCGGCTTTTAGTATACTTGGGAATGCGCCATTTGAAAAACATTGATTGATCAGGTCGGTTAGAGGTTGTGACAATATATCAAGGCATTCTTTAATGTAATTGCTAGAGAGAAAATTGTTTAAATTGGCATTTGGTTTAGTATTCAGCACTATTGTTCGTATTTCGTTTTCCGTTGCAGGAAAAAGTGCCATTGTTCGCGGATTGTCGTGGATTAGAGTAGTAATGGTTGGTTCAGTTGGTGGTATTTTGCTTGATAATTCGTATCCAATGTTGCAGAAATATTGGTTTAAGGTGTTAGCAATTTGGGTGGGATCGTGAACGATTGAGCCATTGCCACCGTTGATTGATTTGATTTCATTCAGGGTTTTGGGTTTATTATGGATTATTTCATTGAAACATTTCCACAATTGTCGCGGCTGTGAGATATATTTATTGAGTTGGGTTGAGTTATGCATTCGACGAGACCGATTGCTAGTGGATATGACAAGATTGCGGTATTCAACATATTTTTTTTGCATGTATTCATTGGTCGGACATAGTTTTAGCAGTTTGTGATATCTATTCCTTTCAGCAATAAGCTGAGTTAGTTCAGGGGTGACCCATTTTTTATAAGGATTTATTGTTTGGAAGATTATACGCGTTCGAATGCATTTATTTTTAGTTGTTTCAATCAGCCGTAGCAGCGAGGAGAAATTAGCGGGGGTATAAATTGACAGCTGTCTGGATAGAAGTCGACGAAAAAGGTCAATATTTAATTTTTTTGAAGAAAAACTTTCCTCGATTTTTTGGAAATTTGTTATTGAATTGGTCATATCTTTGAATGATAGGAGAATCTCTTGGTGATCAGATAGGTGCGAGTCATTTATGCAGAGGCAATATTTGAAACCATAACAATTTGTAAGTACGTGGTCAATAGTTGAAGACTCAGTTTGTCTTGCATTATTATGTTTGTTTATGCGTGTAGCATACTTTTTTTCAGTGCTGTTTAGCAGTTGACATCCAAGTGATTCGATTAGTGAGTAGTATTCGGTGATATTTGATGATTGCTTTTGAATATTAAGATTCATGTCTCCGACCAGAATAACCTTATTTGATTTGTTAAGAATGTGTGTGAGCACGTTGAGAAAACGGCTATTAGAGACAGTCGGTTTTTTGTATACAACAGCTATGCTCGCCCTAAGAGCAGGAATTTTCACAATAACATAGTTGACCTTAAACATCTCACCGCTCTCGACAAGACAGCTGTCGAGCGAAGCATGCACAAAGAGAGCCGCACCACCATATCCATCATCACGGGAGCTAAAATAAGATTTAAAAAACGGTATATTAAATAGATCGGTTTCATTAGGTAAAATGCGTGTTTCTGTGAGAGCTAGGAAATGAATTATTTTATTGTTAGTGTGAGTTAGTTCATTTTCAACTTGAAATAATTTGTTACGTATAGAATTTATGTTGTAGTATTTTAAATTAAAATCATCAAATTTGACTGAATTTACTCTATACGATATCATTTGAATCTGATCGGTAGTGTTAGTAGACATTATTTGCTATTTTTTGGCTATGTTCGATACTGTTGACTAGCGGTCATGCCACGAAGACGAGTTTGGTACTGCCGACGGTAATCCTCGGATACAACTGGTGCACCGTCGCGCGATGATTGGCCGGATTGTGTTGATGTGTATTTGTTTTGTCTGGTTCTCTTTCCTGCTGGCTGTTGTGAGCGATGGTCAAGTAGATTTACGTGTCGGCTATTTCTCTTTTGGTACTGCTCACGATATGGACCGATGTTGTTGTAATTGTTGGTACTGTTCGGTGCACTTGATGATGGTTGACGTGATTGGCTCGGAATGGATCTTTTTGGAACTTTACAAATCCAAAATCCCGAGTCTAACGCCTCCCAATGGGGAATATGTAACGTTAATTAATATTGAATTTGTGCACATTTTTGTAACGTCAATTTTGTATGTGAACGTGTACAAAAAGTACACATTATTTCGTGCACAAAAAGTGCACTGATTTTTAGATAATTACTTTAAAATTATGTACAAAATGTACACAACAGTACATGTACAAAATGTACACAAAAAATTATGTACAAAATGTACACAAAAAATCTAAATAACTATGTGTACATATTCCTCATTGGGCTGGCATCAAACTTAACTGATTGCTCTAGCCACTCTGGGCAGAATTTTCTTATCTTTGAACTCATTAATACTAAAAGACAACTGAACTCAATCATATGAAATTTTGCGCAAATAATTGATTTTAATTCGAACCGTTATATGTATAGCCAGAGAGCGCATGCACCTATGTAAATCATACACATATCCATGCACTCTCCGACTATACATGCGACGTCGTTGCGCTAATTACGACATTAGCCGAATTAGTCGCGACGTCATGCGCATCCACTCAGTCACAACAGAACCTTCGACGAGTGAACTGAATAAAGAGTATTGCACATCAAGAGACATCAAAAAACTGTGTTTATTTCATCAATGTATACTCCTCATACCTCGCTATATATGCATTGATTTTTTACAGTTTCAAAGAAATTCAGAAATCTTTGCTATGTTAGTGAACAATTCAATCTATAGCGGTCTATTAGTAGAATTTATCTTCCTTGTTAAATCATAAATAGAAGCTAATCTGGTTTGTCCAGATATTTAACAAACGGCAGATATTTAATACTTACTTTAAACTTTTACCAGTCGCTCAACTCCATTGTTATTGACAAAGACGGGTTTAATTGTTGTTGATTTTGTGTGATAACCGATTTAAAATGCTATTTTGGACAAATGCGCTTTAGTTTCTTTCAAGTCATCATCGGGATCGTTCGAATGATCAGTAACTGAATCTTTTTAACTTTAACTCATTTTTAGTTGATAAAGTTTTCAGCTTTGACCTCTGATCTTAATGCTATAAAAACTAAACTAGTCGCATTCTGTTTATTGTTTTCATTTGTTCATTGAATCTGTTTTCATCAATTTGAAAGTGAAACTATAGTGAATAAATATTGTTGAAAGATGATTTCCTTACTATTGTGTGTGTTTTTCGTGACGACCATTTTGGTGAAATATTTCATGCACATGAGGCGAATGGAACGATATGTGAAACACTTGAAAACCAAAGGCACCGTTTATCCATTTATCGGAAATGCTCATGTGCTGGTGGGTAAATCTGATGTTGAACTGTTCAAAGGAGTGATGCAATTTGCGAGAGAAGTTGGAACGCCGTTCAAAACATACATTGGACCACTTTTATTTGTGATATTAGATAAACCGGAAGACATGAAAACCATTTTCACATCACCACATTGCTTGGACAAACCCTATGTGTACGGTTATATGCCAAATACGAATGGGATTCTCAATGCAAGATGTAAGACAAAAAGAAGAAATTAATATGTTTTTGCGAATTTTTTTCGCTTCAATTGAGACAACATGCAAATTTTCTGACAAGAATCTTCTTTTTGTCATAAAGATGGCTCCATTTGGAAACCAATACGCAAGCTGATGAATCCGGCATTTCATTTGAAAGTTCTACAAGCTTCTATGCCAATTTTCAACGACGAAACAAAAACATTGATCCAAAAATTGAACGCAAGAGTTGGCGACGCAGATTTCGATATTTTGCCACTGATGAATTTTATCACCTTGAGAATAATTTGCGGTAAAACATTTTTTTTTCGTATTTGAGCCACTTTAAATTGCATGTTCCTTCAAATTTGGATAAAACAGGCGCCGCAATGGGTGTGGATAGCATGAGCGATGATGACATCGGGAAATTTCTGCATAGTATGGAAATGTAAGTAGAACTTAACAAAGATTTAACGAATATCGGAAGTAAAGGATATTTTAAAATTAGGTATCTATAAACTGACAAATCTCCTATATTTGATAGGAGACTCCTTTTTTCGAGTCTTATATTTTCGTCAAAATCTCCTATATTTTTATATTTTTCGAATTCTGAGTTTGTTAAGAAATTTTCATACATTTTTTCTAAAAAGTCGATATCAAATTCACTTCAGCGGTGAATAATAAGTATGAACAATAAAAATCAGCGACCGAAATTATTATCGTTCGCCGAAGTGAATATATACAAGAGCTCTGTGTAAACTGAATGACAGATCGAAACAGCTTCTCGTTCTGAATGTGTGTATGGTTGTTCTCGTAGAATTTTGTTGGCGACAAAATCAAACACAGTTATTTGCACCTATACAACAATTCAGTATATAGTCACTTTGCAAATGCTGTTTGGTATTTTATTTTTCTTTTTTGTTTTAAATTCGGCAGAATGCAAAAATTACTGTATACATACAATGTGTCACCATGGCACTTGTTTCTAGGGAAATATTTCAAAAAACGAATGCTGCGAATTCGATTTCTTGCTAATTTCTTCATAATTCGCGAATGTACGAATTCTTGAGAATTGAACTTTTCCCCAACTACTGATGCATAATGGCAATTGATTTATCATTTGTTTCGTATTGTGCAATATTGCTATATCTTAGATCATCGACTTGAACATAGATTCAATTATTTATTATTTTAACGGAATTTAATATTTTATTGGAAATATTGAAACATTTTTGACAATTTTCATTGATCCAAAGTTTCTTCTATGGAAAAACTGGGGGCTCATACATTCTATACCTATTGTAGACGGATCGTCAGTATTATTATAATTGTGTGAAATAATGAGTAGACGGGTCACACAATTATAATAATAATGACGATCCGTCTACACTATGTATATTTTTTCTCTCATTTTCCCCGGATCTCCCATATTTTCGAAAGAATGATCTGGTCATATTGAGTATCCATTCGAAAAAAAATGAACAAAACACTTGAAAAAATATTAAAAATTAAAAAAAAAGAAACGAAATAACTTACAAAGATATTAAAACATAAAACAAAAATATTGATTCCTGTTAATTTAATCTTTCCCAAAGTGTCTTCGAAATGGTGATAAAACGTTTCACAACCGTCTGGACACAACCGGATTTCATATACCGTTGGACTTCGATGTGCAGAAAACAGAAGCAAAATGTTGATATTATTCGCAATTTCACGAATCGTGTAAGTTCTCATATTATATTGTTTTCGTATGTTTTCATGAATCTAATTTTGTTGGCTAGCAGGTTTTCGATCAAAAAAAGTCCGAATATTTGACAAGAATGGATAAATCTCCAGGTTATTCCAATGAGTCAGACAAACCGCATTTGGAATTGATTGACCACTTGCTCGAGTCATATTTTGCTGGTAGATGTAGCGAAAACATGATCAAAGAACAAATTGAAACGATTCTAATGACAGGCAGTGACACCACTTCAATAACCGCTTCATTTGCAATTCTTATGCTCGCAATGCATCCAAAATTTCAGGAGAGACTATTTGAAGAACTAAAGTCTGTTTATGACACACAAGATGGGGCAACATTGTTTGATCATTTAACGAGATTACCCTATTTGGACTGTTGTTTGAAAGAAACAATGCGATTATTTCCGGTGGCTCCGGTGATTGGCCGCACGCCAGCTATTGACATTCCGGTCAGCAATTGCACCATTCCGAAAGGCACAACCATTAAATTGTCGATTTTAACATTGCATCGCGTAAGTTAATTACCATTGGTTTAATTTAGTATTGATTGAGCAACGAAAAACAATTTCAAGAACATTTCAATTGAAAAACGGAAAAATTAATTATTTTTTCCGAAATAGAGAAAAGATATCTGGGGCGATGACGTTGATGAATTCAATCCTGATCACTTTTCACCGAAAAATGTCAGCCAAAGACATCCGTATTCGTTTCTTCCATTTAGTGCTGGACCAAGACAATGCATTGGTAATTCGATTTTTTTTAAAATCAAATTTCTTCTTTCATTAGATTTATCATTCCAGTTTTAGTTTTGTTTTTGATATTACGTACATATATTTCCCAGCTCTCAAGGTTTTATTTTTTTTTTTTTCAAATTTGGCTTCTGTCAATAAATGAAATTTTAACATTGTTTTCTATCCATTTTTTGCCATAACGCTTATCGTTAAAGCCAAACTAGTATAATAGTCTTCCCATTTTGCGATCATTCACAGGTAATCAGCAATCAATGATTCTAATGAAAGTGATGCTCTCGGCATGTGTGCGAAACTTTAAATTTTCAACACGTCTGAAAATGTGTGATCTGGTGCTAAAATCTGATATTACAATGAAATTGATCAACAAACACATGGTTTTTGTTGAGAGACGCGATTGGTAGGCAAATAATTTACGATGACGAATAATTTCTTTACCCTATCTTTGTATGCGTAATAGGGTTGTTTCATTTTGAATAATTGAATTAAATGTTTAAATTTTATATAAGCAAATTTCTATGAGGTCTTTTAGACTAATCAATAGTCAATGATTGTCACTTTGCAAAATTGCATGTTAAATAACCTCGTGCAGCTTGGCGTCACTTTCTCCACTTCCATATGTTTGCAATGATGTATGAACTTTGACAAGCAAGCTTCTACAATGGAAATTAAATGCGAGTGGAGACGCCACAAAAATGACTCCAAAATCGTCGATTAATGATCGAACTACTTTGTTTTTTAGAGTTTGTCTTATTCATATTTTAAAGTATGCATATATTGGTAGCGGATAGCTTAATCGGTAGAAAAAACCGATTCGTCATTAGATACAATTGAATTTATCAATAAATTGTTATTATTTGCAGAAACAAAGATTGATTCTCATAACACGTACTGACCGTTGGAACGGGCAGTGCATTTGATAGCTCATGTTAAAAGAAGTAATTTATTTAGTTAGATTTTTGTATTGCCTCCAGAAATCCGAAAAATTAAACAATGAATTTGCTAGTTTGATCTAAGATAATGTCGGGTCATTTGGGCCGGTGCCATATCTCCGAAATTTGACAGTGACTGTCAAATGTCATTGCTGCTATGTTAATGACTTGCCAAATGAACACTATTGGTGGTATTCCGGCGAGTCAAGTCGCATTTCTTGTTAGTGAACTAGACACATGACAAAAAATTGTGAAAAATAGTCAAATTTACCATTTTGCCGACCACTCGAAATTGAATATTTTCCGACAATTGTTGAAGGTAAATATCGTATATTTGTTGTAAAATTTATCTATTTTCGATATTTATGTAGTATTCTGGCAAAATTTCATCATGGATTTTTTTTTTGGTTGCATCAAAAATGGCGTCGTTTTTGCTCTGTTGGGCCACTCGTGTCGGGTCAGTTGGGCCACTAACATGATTTGTGTGTTTTACATAGAGACGCCATTTTTATGACTTATGATCGTATTTCAAGTGAAATTCGTGAATGTAAAAAAGATTTTAACGTGTTTTTTTACAAATATAGTGTTAAAAATGCCGAAGCATACTCGAAAAACCGAACAAGGGAAAGTTGACTATGCTGTCTTAACGACTGCACTCAAAGCCGTGAAAATTGGAAATAAATCAGTTCGTTCGACCGCTGTTGCACTCGAAATACCAAGAACCAGCTTTCAGCGTTATGTTCAGAAGTTTGATGAACAAGGCAAAGATATCAACAAACTCAGCGATGCCGATATCGAAACTTTGCTGCGATCACTTGCTGGCTACGTAAACACTACAACGGTATGATGAAATTAAATGGAGAATGAAGCGTGTTGTACATTAAAATTGTTTACATCAATTTGGTTTTGATTTGGTTTTGGTTTTGATTTGGTTGAATAATCGTTAACATTTTTTCTGTACGTGACAAAAAAGTGAATTACAATCCAAAAAGAGTGTCAATATTTATCGTACATGACGAAAAATCAATAAAGTCGCAACAAAACGTCGATATACAGTGTTATTATTTCATTATATTATTTATTTTCACTTATTTTTCAGATTTTTTGTAGTGGCCCAAATGACCCGACATCCTTTTTTTTGGCAAAAAAAATGGTAGTTGGAAAAATTTAAGGTAATGTTCCCTTAAACGGGACGCACTTCGACATGGTTTTTCATCTTTGACTAGTGGAAATATTTTCGAAAATGTGATATACCGTTGGAAAGAGGATGAGCAAAGGAACCTTTTTGCCTTAGACAGCTTTTTATTTACATTACAAAAAAAAAAAATTATCGCAAAATTTCCGACCATGTCGAAAATCGGAAAAAAAAATTTTGTCTCCTTAAATGGGACACCCCGAAAAACTGAAATATAAGCGTGAAAATGAATCAATAAGATCATATTTTGAATGCTTATTCATAGTTTATTCATTTTATCGACTTTTGGAGCTCTACTGCATCAATCCATGCGATATATCCACCCCTTGACCCAGAAAATGGGAATAAACTTACTTTTTGAGTATAAAAAAAGTTAGTTTCCTTTCATTGCCTATATATTCATGAAAGGGGACCTGAGAGGGGCACCATATGCATGGAATGAAAGGTATTGGGGAGTACTATAATTTTGCCCCAGGAGGTGGTGCCTTATTTCCCCTGGGCTGGGATCAGTGACCTTCAGTGTCAATAGCCTTGTTGGAATACTTGATCAATTGTTGGAATACTTGATCAAACCCCAGTCGAAGGGCATGGGGCGGAACTGTCCGGAGTAAATTCATTGTGCTTGATCGACCCTGCAGCTCTGTTGTTCTCAACGATACGATATATCCTCCCCTTCACCCAGAAAGTGAGGAAAACTCTACTTTTTTACTCTAAAAACGGGGTTTTCTTCTCAATGTCTATATTTCCATGAAAGGATGAACTGAAAGGGACACCATATGCATGGATCGAAAGGTATTGAGGAGTGCTATAATTTTGCCTCAGCAGGTGATGCCCTCATAACAGTGGGACCCCCATGATAGGGAATACAAAGTGTCCCATTTAAGGATACATCACTGTCCCGTTTAAGGAAATTACGACCATTTTTGTGACTCATCATAAAAAATTTTTATGGCGCGATACCAACAAAGTGAATATTGCAGATTTAAAATAGACTAAATTTACTAACTATTGAGTATATTTAGCTTCAAAAAATGTTCACAAATGTTCAAAATATGGGTGTACCGAAATTGATCAAAAAAGTTTTATTTTTGAAAGTTTCACACGAAAGTTATTTCACAATCAAGCGATACGTCCTAACTTTTCGAAATACTATCAAAAGTTTGCGTTCGTTGAGCTAATCGTTTGGTATAAATGACAGCTCGCTGTCAAACTCAGAAGTCAAAAATACTTGGCTGTCCCGTTTAAGGGAGCGTCCCGTTTAAGGGAACATTACCTTACATAATTTTTTTTTCACTGACACAATCGAAGGACTTTCTTCGGCAAAAAGTTAGCTTAGGAGGTTACCTTTCCAACGATACCTTAAACTCTAAAAAATTCCCATATGAAAAGAAGGTTTAAAATTAGAAGCTAAGCCGGCCCAAATGACCCGACATTACCTTATATATAGAGCCTCTAGAAATTGTTAAACGAAAACGCTTTAAATTGTTGTTAAATTGTTAACAGAAAAGCCTGAAAATTGTTAGGAA